AATTAAGTCAAAAACGCCTTTCCTATTTTCATTTTTACTCCAAGTAGCGGTTTTAGTTTTTATTTTTTATTTTATTTTATTTTTTTGTTCTTATTTCTCTCTCTTAAATGAACGTGTCTAACCTATCTTCTTAGTTCCTTCTTTCCAGTTTCATTTTTTTTTTTTATCTCCATCATAAATCAAATTCAATTTTCCATTTCTGAAAAATGAATTCCAAACATTTCTATCCCCAAAAAATTCAATCATAGATGGCGATCGATGGACTATTCCATCCCAACACCTTCCTCGTCTTCGACGCCGTCAGGTGTACCGTTAAAAGAGTGTTCCGAAATAGAAGAAGATGAATCCATCTCAAGTTCCGACAAAATCCAACGACGGCAAGAAAACTAAAGAGAGAAGACACCCGTAAAAAAAACCCCTTTTCAGGCTTGCCAATGACGGCACGAAGCCACAATCACAAGACCTTGTAAAATCAATCACCCAATTATTATTTTTTTTTTCTTTTTTGTGTTTCATCAATTAAATCCTTATTTTTTGCATTTTTTTCTCCTTTAATTTGTGGGTTTTAATGGTTTTCAGTTATCGTGATTGGATTTAAGATAGAGGAAACTGTCCTTCGCCTACCTCCATTACTTTTGTTCTTTTTTTTTTGGGTGTTTTTTTTATACAATTAGTTTTTTTTTTAGTCCTTGAAAAATGCTGTGGTGAATTCGATTTGTCTATTTTGACATGTCTTGATATGAGTTTCAGGTCTTGTTATTCATTTGAGGTTGCGACTCAAAATAGATTTTTGCATGAAAATGACTAAAATATATTTTTATGTGATAAGTTATTGTTGTTCTGTGTCCCGAAAATCAAGTTTTTATGCACATTTAGAATTTGTTGTTATGGGCTATAAATATTCATGCATCACAGTGATTAGTTCCTTTCTCCGTCTCCATCGTATTTGGTTAACTTAAAGTTGTTTTCCTGTTGTTTTTTAGTTGTTTTGTTATTACTTAGTTGTTGCTCAATATCTTGTTTATATCTCTTCGGCTTTGAATATATCTAATTTCAGACCTCTTATAATATATGTTTATTTTATAATTTTTAATTTTTTTAGATTAAAAAAAATGATAGAATTGATGGAAATCAAATCATATTGCAGACGTAGTAGTACTAATTGATTATATTTTTTATTTTTAGTTTTTTTAGTTTTTATGTTTGAAGAAGAAAAAGAAGAAGAGGAGGAGGAGAAAAAGAAGAAGAACAGAGCAAAAAACGAAGTGTGAGAAGGAAGAGAGAGAAGAAAAAAGAGAAAGAGAAAGAAAGAGAAAAAAAGAAGTTATTTTTTTGAATTTTGATTACTGTAACTTCTTATTCAATCATTTTTGGAATTCATTATACTACTTTTTATAATTCATCATAACCCTTGACATTTGTAGAATTGTGTATTATAAATGGGGCAGTTATAAAATTTTCCCCAACTGCATTGTATTGGGTCATTTCCACTCATGCAAGTATTTATATCGAGCCCAGCCATATGTATATACCAGAGCCCAATTATCTGCTATATGGGCCACCGTTAATTTGACCAAATTCTACAACCAACATACGAACTTCGATTTATAGTTTTGTACATATAGTTGAACCAAGTATAACAAAAAAATTTAGAGTAAATTACACTCCTTAGAATCAAATATGATCTATATTATACTTATACACCCATTATAAAAAATTATTCCACCCATTTGGAGTATTGGACAATTTTTTTTTTTTCAACTGTAAATTTTATTTTTGGCAAGAACTTAATAACTTGATACTTTTATTGCGAGCAAATAAATTAAATAGAAATATCGATTATCTCTCTTCTATTTATTTATATAGATACTATATTACT